GCAGCTCTGGAGGAGAAAAGAGCAGAGAAAAGCTGACAGGGCTTTAAGCACTGCCTGGGGCTGGAGTGATCTATTCAAGAAGACAAGAAGGTGTATCAGGAGACTAGCAGGTCTATGCAGGGAACTTGTGACTTAGCTCCCAAGAACAGTGTCATACAGGGAATGGGTGCAAAGACAGGCCACAAAGAAGGAATTAGAAACATTACCAGGGCACACTGGGGTGGTGTCAGGAAAACCAAAGTTCACCTGCAGCAGAAGTTTGTCAAGGGCATCAAAAGCTCAGAGATTTCTGCTACACTGGTAGGAAAAGCAGGCTGTTTGCTTAAGGGAGTGGGTGAATGGAAGTCTTTCCACACTGTCATAATATTTTTGCTTCATATTTAAGACATGATCCTATGATCTGGATGCGCGTGCAACCTGACAGGTAAAAAACTGGTTGGTTGGTCAGAGTCAGAGAGTGGTGGTTAGTTAGTCATATTTGCAAGACTAAGAATTTATTTCTTAATTCACTAAGCAGCTCAATAGTTTAAAGGTATTGTGAAGGTCACATCTGCATGACTTCCATTAGAATTCAATTCTGCTAAAAAGACAGAAAAAATCAAATCCAGATCTGTGCCCTACAGTCCTGAAAAACATTAAGATTGGTTCCTTTCCTACCAGATGACTACCAATAAGGACCTTCAGGTCACATGGGGGGCACTTTTAACAGCTTACACAGATGTTAGGAATTTAATAATCCTGTTTATAACACACGGGAACAAATAATAACTTATCTTCCCAGCTGTTATCTGAAAAGCCAAAAGGCAAAAAACACCTTCTGTAAATTAAGATCCTATACAGGAAGAAAATTTGGCTGCCAGGTAAGACAGTATAATACTATACAACAGTAACATAAATAGCAATAACAACAACAATAGTAGTAGCAATAAGTAATTATACTTTGATATAAGTACAATATACTTTAATAAGTAATTATACTTTAATAAAAATGTCCCATATGAAATTACTGATACACTGATAAACTCCTCCAGTAGCTGTTTCCCTTGCAAAAGGCGCCGTTCAAGTCCCCTGTACGACCCGAACTGCTCATCTCGGGGCTCCGGCGCTGGCCGGGGCCCCTCGGCCGGCGGGGCCACGCGTGTCCTCCGCGCCAGCTGCTCGCCCTCGGCCGGCTGCGAGTCCCGCAGGGCGGCAGCGCTCGGGGGTGTCCAGCGAGCCCTCGCCCCGCAGCCCGCCCGCCCCGAGAGCCCCTGGAGGGCGGCAAAGCCCCGGCACGGCGCGGCGGGGACACCTTACCCCGTGTTGGGCAGCATGGCGGCGCGGCTGGGCCGGGCCGGG